GGGGACATTTTATATGAATGTATTTTACATATAAATATAAATTATGTATTTACCATTCCTAGTGCTCTTGGTCCCATTTTGTACTTTCCTCTTCCTAATGAATTTTTTACTTTTGAGAGGTATGTTTTCTAGTGATAGATTCTCAATATTTTTCCCACCGGATACAGAATTCTAAGTTGAGTCAGTCATAGAGTAACTTAAAAAATATTGCTTGGTGTGTCTTCTGGCTTCCAGAGATTCTTAGGAGACATCTGTTGTTACTCTTTTTTCCCCTGTATATTGTCATTTTTTCCTCAGGCTGATTCAGGTGGCTTTCACAGTTTGGTTATTTGGTGCTTTGGTGAAGTTTTGTTTATTTTGCTTGATGTTTCTTGAGCTTCTTAGTTATGAATGTAGATTCTATAGTTTTCTTCACATTGAGCTATTATATTATCTCTTCCTTTATCTTCAAGTTTCGCTCTTCTATCTTGAACATGAAGAGAATATTTATAATAGTGGGTGGTTTTTTTGTTTCTTTTTTGGTAGTACTGGGGATTGAACCCAAGGCTACTAAACTAGCACTTTACTACTGAGCAACATCCCCAGCCCTATAATAGCCTGTTTAATGTCCTCGTCTGCTATTTTAATTCATCATCTCTATATTCTGAATGGTTCTATTGATTGATTTTCCTGCTGCCCCTTTGAGTGCTGATATTTGTGATCAGTTGCCAGATTTTGTGTTTCCACATTGTTGGATGCCGTATTTTCTCATATTATTTTATATGTTTTAGATTTTATTTTAGGATACAGTTTTCTTGGATTCTCTTTGATTCTAGAGGCTTATTCTCAGATGTCTTTGGCATGGTTTGGAACAACCTTTAGTCTAAAGCTGATTAACCTCAACTACTACTATATGATATTCTTCCGGTTTTGTTTTGATTTTGTTTTAAGGTGTGCCCCTATCTTCAAATAGGCCTTTCATCAAATAAACAAAACACAGGAAGTGATGAAAAGTTGAGAAGGGAAGAGCTAGGGCCAGTAAAAAACTGTCTATCTCTTAACTTGGTAGTGTGAATGATCAGAGTTGAAAAATAATCACAAAAGTGATTATAAGTTAAGACCATTTGCAATTAAGAGTGGGACCGGCTGGCACGTGCCTATAATTTCGGTAGCTCAGGTGGCTGAGACAGGAGGATCTCAAGTTCAAAGCCAATCTCAGCAACTTGGTGAAACCTTGTCTCAAAATAAGAAGTTTTAAAAAGGGCTGGGATTGTGGTTCAGTGGTTAAGCATGGGTTCGATCCCCAGTACCAAAAAAAAAAAAAAGAATAGGACCAATGAGGAAAAAGACAAACTTAAGTGAACAGGAAGGAAAGACTAAGGGGAAAACCTTGTGTTTAAGGAAGAAAATGGAAGAGAACGCTGAGCTCAGACTTGGTTGAGAACAGTTTGTTTTAGTTGGAAAAGATTATCTGTTCTTCAAGGAAACTAATGGTCAAGATCATGTGGGGGAAGATCACATTGGAAATTCTTAGAAAATATAGAAGATTGATTCTGATTTTATAATGTCATTTCTCTCAGTTCTTGTGACCTAAAGTACACAGAAGGAGTACAGTCCCTCAACTGGACTAAAATTATGAAGACCATCGTTGATGACCCTGAGGGCTTCTTTGAACAAGGTGGCTGGTCTTTCCTGGAGCCTGAGGGTGAGGTGCGTGAGTGTGGGGTTTTTTTTCTGGCAGACAGTGTTGCCTACTGTATTTTGGCAGTTAGGAGAATGGCATACAGGGAGCACATAAAGGATCAGACCAACTGGGAGAAGCTTTGAATGGAACTTGGTATTATTATTATTTTTCCTCGATAGTTTTACAAGTATGTGATAGATTGGCTATTGGTGACCACTCACATGATTTCTTTGAAATTATGAAAAACATTCCACACGAGTTTTATAAGAATCACTTAATGAAAAGTGGTCCTTGCACATTTGCATAATGCAACATTACAAAGTTTCGGTCATTAATTTCCCTAGGTAAGGAGGAATGAAATCAATCATTTAGAAATGAGTCGGTGTGCCCTGTTTCAACCCTAGCACAAAATAAAGAAGGAAGATACACTAAGGCGGTGGTTAAGAGTCTGATAACAGTACTTTGACATTAATTTTAGACAAGTGATTTGATCTCTTAGTCACTCAGGGGTTTTTTTGTTTGTTTGTTTGTTTTTTCTTGTAAAATGTTGATGTACTAATTGGGTAGAATTTCATTATAAGGTGAATATGGGAATGGAAAGTTAATAGTATTATGGTCTTTCTAACTTGCCAGGGGAGTGATGCCGAAGAAGGGGATTCAGAGTCTGAAATTGAAGATGAGACTTTTAATCCATCAGAGGATGACTATGAAGAGGAAGAGGAGGATAGTGATGAAGACTACTCATCAGAAGCAGAAGAATCAGGTTGGTCTTTTATAAGAAAGAAATTTGTCATGGCTTTTTAGTATGATTTCTAGAAACTTTGTTTTTGTTGTTTTGTTTGGTACCTGGAATTGAACACAGGGGTATCCAATTACTAAACCACATCCCCAGCTCTTTTATTATTTTAAAACAAACACAGTCTTGCTGAGTTGCTAAGGCTGAGTTTTAAACTTGCAGTCCTCCTGTCTCAGCCTTCTAAGTCACTGGTATTGCAGGTGTGTGCCATCATGCCAAGCTAGAAACTGCCTTTTTTTTTTTTTTTTTTTTTTTAATTCTGTCATTCTATGATGTTTCTGTTTCTATAGACTAATTTGTGATCATTGTTATTTCAGACTATTCCAAGGAATCATTGGGCAGTGAAGAAGAGAGTGGGAAGGATTGGGATGAACTGGAAGAAGAAGCCCGAAAAGGTTAAAAAAAAATAATTGTTTTTGTTTGGTGTTTTTATTTATTCATTTATTTATGTACAAATTTTTGACATGTTTCTGTAGTTTGATGTATTAGTATTAGTAGCCCCATGAGAAGAACAAAAGAACATGATAAAACTCGGAGCCATAGCTACAGTTTCAATGAATAAAGGAGAAATAAGGTCCAGAATGTATCTAACTTCTCCAAGTGGATAAGACACCACCTTAACCGGATGTCTTTTTCATCTGCCAAAGTTTCCAGGGTGCTCATAGCCATGATACCACATAATCATGTAAGGCTCCAGGTTAGGAGGAATATCTTTGTAGTGCTAATCTAGTTACTCTGAAACCAAACCCCAAATACAAGTTAAAGATGAAGAGGAAACATTATCTGCTGTATCCCAGACATGATAGGTATTTTGAGCAGGACATCGTACTTAATCCTTAAATAATTCTTCTTACAAATAAATAAAGATTCAGAAAGGTTAAGCATCTGGCCCCAGGTCACATACTAATAAGTGATAGATTAAAGATTAAAATTCAGGTCTGACTAAAGGACATTCTCTATACTATTTCATGCTATCCAGTAGGTAACTAAAGCTAACCAATAATACTTCCTTCTGTTTAGCGGACCGAGAAAGTCGTTATGAGGAGGAGGAAGAACAGAGTCGAAGTATGAGTCGAAAGAGGAAGGCATCTGTACATAGCTCAGGCCGTGGCTCTAACCGTGGTTCCAGACACAGCTCTGCACCCCCCAAGAAAAAGAGGAAGTAACATCTGAACTTTGGCTCTGAGCTCTATTCTTCCTCCAGCCAACTCCTGAAAATTTTACATGACATAGAAACTGTATTTTTCCTTTTATTTTCTTTGAAGTTTTGCCATTTGTGTGTATGGGTTTAGGGGGCCATTTGTGTGGACCAATCTACTCGGGGAATTTCAGGCCCACCAGGACCCGTGCCAATGGCCCCAGTTCAGATGGCAAGGGAGGAGGTATTCTTGAAGAAGGGCGGAGGCTTCAGCTGTTAATAAATACCATTCATTCCTCTCTTCCTGTCACCTTCTACCAGGACATCGATGGCTTCTGATACCTTATCTTTGGTGTCTCTAAAGCTATATTTCTAAGACAGTGGTACAAGGAGCTCCTTAACTACCTGTACCATGGTTCTTGACCAGCAAATTCAACCCTCCATCCTACCCCACTGCCATGACCTTCCTCACGTCTAAGTTCCATCTTTGCAATACTCAAGAAAGGATTCTTGGAATTTGCTAACGATTGTGATGCAGCTTGAGCTAGTGAGGCAGTTTGGGCTGGTGGCTTCATCAGTTTTCCTGGTTTCTGGCCTCATGTAGGTTCTGAGGTATCTCTACTGCCTTGGAAGACATAAGAAGCAGTGACACTCCCTGGCTTGGTTTTTCTTCTTAAAATTCCCACATGGTACAATGATATAAGGCAAAGTTACCACAGTCTCTTTTCTGATGTATCTAAGGAAGAATGGTGGTACCTCACATACTGCTTCAAATGAAACCTAGAGGGAGGCTCAAAGGAGTCTACATTTAGATCTGGAAGGGCAATTCATGCCTTGGGCCTAGAATACCCTGACAAGAAAAGAGAAGAGGAAGGGAGGCCATTATCTACAACACAGCCTCTCATCACTGCTGCTCCTTATTTTTACTTGTCCTGCATTGTCCTGTATTTATCACAGTTTCTGTTGAAGAACAGCTTTTTAAGTATTGAGGGAGTTTATCTTGCCATCCTCCCCTCCTGGTTCTCTGCACCCACCTGTCCCACTGCACTTCCTTCTGTGTTCTGTGACTAAGAGAAGAGGGGGGGAAGGGTCTCAGATTTTATGTTTTGTTGTTTTTTGGTTTTTTTGTTTTTGTTTCTCCTTAGCAGTAGGACTTGATATTTTCAATTTTGGAAGAACTAAAAGATAAATAAACTGTGGGTTTTTTTGTTGTTTTGTTTTTATAAATTCATCTTTTGTGACCATTCCTTTGCAGTCCCTGAAAGCAACCTGCTTATCCACTGGTTAAGTGCTGACGCATTGGAAGGAAAATGCCTTTACCCCACTAGTATCACAAAAATAAACCTTCATCACTAAACTTTTATCATTAGACTGAGAAATAATAGATACCACAGTAAACCAAATTTATGGCATAGCAAGTTACTTTATAAGAGATTTTTACTATGGTTCCCTTGGATTTTAGAATGGAAAAGCATTGTTCCTTCATGTAAACAAATCTTCAGTCATCTCCTTGTAAATACCGTGGAGGGCAGCAGCTGCTTGAAGAGAAACTTTCAGCCTTCCTATTGGAATTGCCTGGTCTTCAGGGCTAAAAACTGTGGAGAAAAAGCAAAAGTATTAGGCAGTAGCATCTTCAATTTAAAAAACTCAAAATAGATATTTGTTATCTTAGGTACTGAGGATACTAAGTGAATAAACTAACTATCCCAATTCATGAGGAGATTCTGTCTAGTGGATAGAAAACAGTCGTTGCAGTATAGTATATAATTGTTATAATAAGTAAAAGCCCAGAGTGCTTTGGGGAAAAGGGGCATGTGCCAGAATGGAGAAATAGAAGGGTTTCTCGAGACAGTTCATGAGCTAAGTCTAAATAAGACATGCTCCAAGTATGCCAAGACATGAGATCATGTGTTTGGAAAACAACAGGGAAGGGCAGAAATGAACCTATACAGATAAGTAGGGCAGATCACAAAGGACTTGTTCTAAAGAATTTGATTTTGACCAAAGGCATCAGAAGTGGCAGTGTCCGTTTTGGGTTCTAGGAAGGTGACCTCATTATTCAAAAACTTCAAAAGGGCACAACTAAGCCTAGGAGAGTAGTTATGAGGCTTTTGCAGTGTAAGGGAGGATCTTAAGTATAATAGTTGCTTATGGGGTGGGGAACGATTCAAAACATAAGTAAAATTTTGTTAACTCAGTGTTGGGAGTAAGGAGGAAAGATCAGACTGAAAATGGCCATTGTAATCTGAATAATGGAATACAAGTTAGAAAGTTTAAGAAATTAGAGTTCAGGGGAAGTAATGGCATCTATCGTGTATCTACGTAGTATAAACAATCTGGTCTAGAAACCTAGATTTCAGATCATCTAAGCAATAGTTAAAACCCTGTGAGTGGATTCAACCACCTGTTCCCAGACAGTATTATGTAGAAAAACCAAGAACTGAACCAGAATAATTAAATATTCAAAGGAACAGTCCAGGGAAGAACAATCTACAAAGCAAAAAAGGGCCAGCCAGCTAGAAAGTGATAGTTAACATCCTGGGGGGATGGGGGGGGGGACGAGCCAGGTGTGTTGGTTCATACCTGTAAGGGCTAGGGATGTAGCTTAGTAATAAAAGTGCCCCCAGGTTCGATCCCTAGTATGAAAAGAAAAAAAAAATGTTTAAAAAGGAAGAAGCATTACTGGTTTAGTGAAGTCAGGAAAGATGAGTAAAAACCAATTGGATTTGGCAATTAGGAAAAGTGAAAATATTCACAAAATGCTTGGAATGGAAATAATGCAAAAATATAGGAGGTACAGAAATAAAACTGCTTTGGCCTGATCATTCAGTGAATAGATCAAATGAGTTGAATTTTGCAGTGATAAGGTAGATAATAGGGCCAAAAAGCAGATTGTCATTTTTAAAATTAAAGACCAACATGTTTAAAGCCTGGAGGGGAAGAGAGAGGATTACTCTTTTAAGTTGGTTTTATTGGATGATTAAAAACAATTTGAGAAGCATGCACTCATAAGCATGGGAATTTTGAGATCACTAGAAAAGGCTAATAAGAGTTTTTCTTGGCACTGAAGTCTTGGTTATGTTCAAGGATGAAACAGATTAGCGGAATTGAAGTGGCTAACAGATGGCACTTGCCATGTGCCAGGCACTGTCTACGTGGCCCTTAATCTTCCATTATTTACCAAAGTGTCCCTTTAATCTTCACGATAACTCTGTGAAATACATTCTACTGCTATTATCCCTGTTTTGAAGTTGAGAAAAGGCGTACAGAGGTTAAATAATCATAGTTGGAAAGATACTAAAGGAACACAATGAAGTTGTGTCAACCTGCTAAAGTTTGAACTGTATTTGATCTGAAGAGTATTCCTCTATAATCAGAACAACTTTATATCAATTCAGTAAACACAGTACATCAAATAATAGTAGAATGTGGTCAAGACAAAAAAGAGTGATTATCACTTGGTGACCAGTGGATATGAGGGAAGAAAGAGAGTTGGTATCCATATGGAATATGGGACTGTACATGAACAAATTAACAGAGAAAGGTATTAGCTAACTTTACAAACCTTATCTGATTAAGAGTTCTGGAAATTCTGATGTCTGAATTTTATTGAAATTAATTTTTTTAAATATTTGTTTTAGTTGTAGTTGGACATAATACCTTTATTTTTATGTGGTGTTGAGGATCGAACCCAGTGCCTCTGCACATGCTAGGCAAGCGCTCTACCACTGAGCCACAACCCCAGCCCCAAATTAATTTCTCTTTAAATAAAAAATATTCCATAACTGGATATAGAAGCACATGTCTGTAAGGCTAATAACTTAAGAGGCTGATGCAGGAGGATCTCAAGTTCAATGCCAACCTCAGCAACTTAGCAAGGCCCGGTCTCCAAATAAAAAATTTTAAAAAGGGGGACTGGGGCTATGGCTCAGCAGTAGCACACTTGCCTGGCATGTGTGAGGCACGGAGTTCGATTCTCAGCACCACATATAAATAAATACAAGTTTATCAACAACTAAAAAAAAAACTTAAAAAGAGGGATGCAGGGGGATGTGGATGTGGCTGTAGCGCGCTCGCCTGGCATGCGTGTGGTCTGGGTTCGATCCTCAGCACCACATACAAAGATGTTGTGTCCGCCGAAAACTAAAAAAAAAAAAAAAAATCAAAAGGGGGATGCAGCTCAGTGGTTAAAACACCAAAAAATAAATAAATAATAATCCCTATCTCAAAAAATTGTAGAGTCAAAATAGATTCTAATTGTAATGAGGTTATAAGAGAGCTAAAATAAACAACTGATTACTTTTTATGCTGGATCCAGAAATGAAATACAGACAGCTATGGGGAAGAGATCTCAATTCAGTTCGTCTCTCACCATCTTCAAAGTGATAATGATATATTGAAGGCAAAACAAAATTATTCAATATTAGGATGTTTTTCTTAGAAAATTAGGAACTGAGAAGCACAAAAATTTTTATTACTTACTATCTAATTCTTGTTCTAGAATATCTCTTCCTGATTCAAGGATCTGCCACAGTCCAAGGTATGCATATCCTACTTCTTCACATTCTTTCTTTTCTTCATCCATAGGATCACTCACCACTGTAAACTTTAAACTAAAGGGGGAAAAATCCATTTATTTCAGTACTGCTGATCCCCTTATACTTTAAAAAGAAAATAAAGAAAAATAATCATAAAAAATACAGTATATTCTCCCCTGAATCACCTTTCTTTTGCCTATATTAGACAAGATGACAACAAAGTGAGGAATCAATATCATTTTAATTAAGTAAAACTACTTATTTAAAGACCCATTACTACAGGCACTTAGAAGAAAACACAAAGATTTTTAAAAATAAGTTGATCAGATCTCAAGACTATCAAGATAAAATTCCTGGTAAGGGCTGGGGCTGCAGCTCAGCGGTAGCACACTTGCCTGGCATGTATGAGGCATTGGGTTCGATTCTCAGCACCATGTATAAATAAATAAAGGTCTATTAACAACTAAAAAAAAGTTTTCTAAAAATTCCTGGTAACACAATTTACAATGTTGAAGGATTTATTGTGAGAAATATTATGGATATTAGGAGAAGTTTTCTAAATAAGATTTGGATCCCAAACATGAGCAAAGGCAACACAAGGAATGCAAAATTGGAAAACAAGTATAAAAAGTACATTCCTTGGAGTACTCACAGATGATGCTGTAAAGCACATAGTACAGAGCCCCAAAAGCAATAAGTAGTCATTGACAACTAGTATTATCCTGATTTAGCCTAGTAAATGGTATTGAATTCTAGAAATTTGTACAATCCATAATAATCCCATTAATTTCCTTAGATAAAATTCACTATTTTAACCATTTTACAATATTCAGTGTGTTTTAGTATAAGCATAATATGTGACCATCAGCACTAATTCCAGAATGGTCATTACCTCAAAAAACAAACCATCTTGATTAAGCAGTCACTACCCATTCTTTCTCCCAGTTCCTGGCAACTGCTGATTACTTTTCATCTCTCTAGATTTGCCTATTCTGGACATTTCGTATTCCTATTAATTTTGGTGGGGAGGGTATCAGGGATTGAATTCAGGAGCACTTGGCCACATCCCCAACCCTATTTTGTATTCTATTTAGAAGCAGGATCTCACTGAGTTGCTTGGCACCTCATCTTTACTGAGGCTGGCTTTGAACTTGCAATCCTCCTGTCTCAGCCTCCTAAGCCACTGGGATTACAGGCTGTGCCACTGCGCCTGGTTCTATTAATTTTTAAAAAGCAAATCTTGGAGCTGAGGTTGTGGCTCAGTGGTAGAGTGCTCACCTAGCACATGTAGGGCGCTGGGTTCAATCCTCAGCACAATATAAAAATAAAATAAAGGTATTGTGTCCAACTACAACTGAAACAAAATATTTTTTTAAAAAAAGCAAATCTTGATGCTAATAATGCTAAGGGAGCAAGAACTGGACTAAAAATTCAAGTTCTTAAAGCACAGCTAAACAAGATTCACTTGAAAAGAAGGCCTTCCTAAAAAGGATACATTTTCAGCAGGGTAAACAATATTCATTTGTGATTATCACAAATTCTATATCACTACTAAGATCTTCAACAATGCAAAGGGATAATGCTAACTTCCCTACCCCAGCTTTCCAGGAAAGGGATAGTAACTGACATTGCTATGGGCCAGCCACCATGCCAGGTGCTTTTGTAAACTAGGTCACTTCAATTTTATTCTCACAAGAGCATTGGAGTTAGGTAATATTGCAAAGATGAAGCTAGTAAGTGAGAGAATGAGGATTCAAAACCAGGCCTGTCAGAATACAAAGCCATTCTACAGTCAGCTGTACAATACTAACAACAAAAAAAAAAAAAAAAAAAA